TAGAAGCTACCCGTCGTCTGCGTGTTTGGCCCTCGAAATACTTATCGGTGAAAGGAATATGTAGCACGTAATAATATTCATCGCGCTTAACGTATAACACTGAGAGCATCTTCTCGCTCTTTGGATACTTTGACATGGAATTAATTACAATTTTATGTACGTTTCGTTAAATTCGAAAGATATACATTTTATGTAACATTTGTTCTTAAAAATATATGAGATAAATTAATTTAATATATTATTTGTTTAAAAAGTAACATCAATAATTATATATAATTATAATAAATAAAAATTATTTATTAAAATGCCAATGTATCCAACATGTCGATAAACTTCCTTAATATTTGTGTTAACTTGACTGCCTTAAACATCTATTACAAACTTATGGATGGCTCTTTGAAGATATACTGCAACCTTTCGACGCAATGCATTCGGGCGATGTGTATAGAGAGGATTTTGGTTTCGTCGCGTGGTAGGGTAGTTTTAGCCAGAGGCATCGGTTGTCTGCATTCGACACATTGTCAATTTGCCGCTGCTCGTCGCGTCTGTTTAAAATCGATCGTGCCAGGGCACACATACCTGCCTACCAAATACATTTTCGGTTTACGAGTGCCGTAGACGTCACTCCCGTTCCCTAACAATGCGCTAAAAAAATAGTCGCTTTGTTCGATTTCTGCCCGCCGCCAGTATGTTTGGGATCATACGTATTAATCTCCAATGATTTTCGAAAATATACGTATAGCGCAGTTTCAATCAAAGTTATTTTCATCATTTTCGTGTTTATTTTCCTTCACATTTTGTGATTATAAATAAATAACTTCTTTCCCCATTGATTCCATCGACACTTCGGTATGTTCTTTCACTTATATTTTTCCAGCGACGAGATAAATTTCTGTTTGTCATTTTGAAATAACGCATAAAAATAATTAATAGAGCTAACTATAATAATAACGTTTAGCGCTATACATATGTGTATTTATTTTATTAAAAAAATGTTTTATACGATAAGACAGAGAGACACTTTCTCTGAGATATATCTGATTTTTCATAACTTACCAGCGTTATAAATAAATTGGAAGTAACTCATTTACAATTTAAGAAAATGTTTTCCCTGGTAATTACAACAATAAGGTTATGACGTAGGAGGCGACAGTAAAAATGCAAATTTAATCCACTGCCTACGGGCAGCGATCTTGCTAGTCCGAATATCGTGATAACATCGAAAATGAGAACCACAAACGCGATATATTTGAAGTATGATGTGACTGAGAATTCCGTACGGGCGAGCAGCGCATTCCACGTGATATCTATTTCATTATAGGGGAGATTCCACAGCATTTTTGCAATTATATCCAGCGATCATCGCCACTGGTTACACAGGTTATACCGTTCATATTGTGTTTGCGAATATTGTCGCAATATAGTCGAAATTTCTCGGGGACGGCCCTGTGATCGAATACTCGGACCAGCGACGTTAATTATCTTTAATCCAATTAGCTATGTATTTGCATATGCCGACTACGATGTTTTCGAGCGTTCGCATCTGCACTCATTAGCGCGATGGATATGATGCAAATAAATGAAAAATGAGCTCGCAAAAGGTGTGACGCGCTACCTGAAAAGTGTAATTAAAAATTACACCTTCATCAAATATTCGCGACACTTCTTTGCACGCTCGAGAAAATGATTTTGTACAAAGTCCCTCTTTACGTATTATATCATACATTGTGTTTGTGTACTTGGTACTTTTTTCAATTATCTGACGATATCCGGCCGTCAATAAAAATTAATGAAATAAAAACGTTAATTGCAAAGAATGGGATAGAAAAATGGACCGCCATCGAATAAAAAAAGGCGCGAATAGCAAATTCTACCAAATGTAATGTTTACTAATTAAAAGACTAGGCACACGTGCGAGGAATATTAAATTTTGTCAATTAAAACCATCGCCAATTACTTTCAAATTAATGAGAGAACGAAAGAGACGGTGGAGCTACTTTATCGTGTTTATTAAATTTCTTCGACCACCCTCTTGTGTCCCCTTTCGCGCAAGGAGTGATACGAGTGTACAGCACATCCCTTACGTATAATACAGCATAATACAAAATACATGTGCTCGCTAACTCCTTTTCCAACACTTATTTGTGTTTTTAAGGACATAGAAAAATGCCTTCAACTAGGTATACTTTTCATTAACAAGGATTTAACGTTATTCAGTTACAAAAGTCTTTTATTTAAAATGAAATGAAAGAATATGTTATTAATTTCGCGTAGAGCAGAACATTCTTCTGAAGAATTCAACACATATCTTAACTATTGTTTGTACAATTCTATTGTGAATGTACACAATAACGTATAAACATAAAAAATAATGTATGAATATTTATATTATCGTACGTGATATTACAAAGGGAAAGTCTAAATATCGTTAAGTTACGGGGTTTATATAGAACTTTGATCATTCTTGGATTTTAGTAAATTGTGGAGATTATTTTTATAGTAGATAATTAAATAATAAAATTCCTCATTAATTTATTATAAAGTATTATTTATATTGATTAGTATTTCGGTAATTTATGCTAATTGCAATAATACAATTTAAAAGAAAAGAAAATTATGTCACGTGAGGATTCTCTGGTTTATAAAGAATAACAATTATTTAACTGGAGCCATGAATTGCAATACAATATCGATCGAATGATAATATATTAGCTATTGTTTACAAATTGCTAATGTACATGATGATTAGTACAAATTACTGATGTAAATGCGACTTCAAATTTGTAAAAGAATTTGTCATTAAAATTTAATTTAATGGAAGTGAAATACTCTATATATTAATTTGTGACATTAATAAGCTATTTAATGCACTGAAAGCAGAATAGTCCGCATTTATCTATGAATGCTAGTCGCGTTAATACAACTACGAAAAATATTACTGATTTGATCCATGTTACAAGAAAGTTTAATTAATTCCGGAATTGACATGTTTTGGAGATAAAATTGATATCAGACTGTACACATTTAAAAATACGTGTACTTTAATAAGTATATATCAAAATATAACTTTGGAGGGTATTTGTTTTTTAAAATGAATAAATTAGGTCGAAATGAATTATACAAATGTTTGGTAACGTTGATAAGCGTAACGTATGCTAAACAGTAATCGTATCCAGGCGAATTAATAATAAGCCGCACATTTTTTATAAGGCGTTGATAAATAGTTGGCACTCATACAAAATGCAATCGTTTCGTACGAACCGAAAAGCAAACGTGACTTGGAGCGAATCTGAGATTTTAATAAATTAACATGAACACACATTATCCGGCGTAATTACAAAACTACCGTGTTACACGCAACGCTTGTGATCGTCGCAAATAGGATGGAATGCCGTTGATGTAGGAATCGCGGGTTCGCGCGTTGGCGGGTCAAGCAAAGCGTTAGGGAGCCATCGCGACTTCCGTTCCGCGCTGCACGGGGCTGCCGCGTTATAAAAAGGGGTAGCTATTGAATTAAAAGGACGTAGAGCGAATAAGGCGGGCCGCAACGAGAAAGCGAGATCGCGCGCGCGGCCGGGCGAGATTCCGGCGAGAGAGCGAGCACGCGCGGGCGCCTCGCGCGAGGGTGGAAGAGCGTAGCGTGGCGAGAGAGGAGCAGCGCGACGCGGGGGCCGAGGGGGGTGGGGACGAGATGAGGACGGAGATAGAGTGAAACGCTCCCGGCTCGGGAAGGGGGAAGAAAGGCGGAGGAAATGAGAAGAAGAGGGCTCTCTCTCGTCTCCTTCGGCCGGTCGTCTGCTCGCATCTCTCCTCTCTCCCGCGCATCACCGCGCCGAGCGTCCGCGCGCGCTCTTGCCGGCCATAAAAATAAAATTTCAATAAATCTCCGCCGCGCGAAAACTAGTGGGGCATCCAGAGGGCCGGGCCACCCGCTCATTGGAGCTGCGTTCGCGGCGGTTACCGCCTACCACAAAGCGGAGACGGCGAAAGAGACGGTAACCTGGATAGAGTTTACCTCGGGATATGGGCAACCCTCGCATGGCTACCAACCATTGCGGCTCGGCGGAAGATCCGACGACGGGGTGCCTCCGGGTCCGAGGATCCTCGTTGCTTCCTACGTCTATCACCGCCGGCCGCCTTACCTCTTTTTGTCCCGACTCTTCCGAACCAATGTCTGCCCTGTCACCCCCGTCTCCAGCTCGAGCGCGCGCTCGTCTGATCCTACCGATTGCTGACCGCGTGGTAACGCTCGACTCTCGCGCTACCGTCGCCGCGATCGTGACAATTCTTAACGCAGTAGTTGAATGAAATTTTCCAGAAGAAAACTTTGAAACCCTCGGCACAGAAAGAGATACACAAATATAAAAGGCTTCGCTCTCTTTCTCGAAGGGATGAAACAATTAACAGTTCGGGATTCGAAATCCCGCCTCGGTGTCACGATCGCCATTTTAATATTCTCGGATAGGTAGCGGGTATCTCTTGGTGCCAAGTAATTTAGCACTTGGACAATTAATTATTTCGCTCCCCCTGAAAACGAAGGGACAAACAAAATCGCGATTTCGCCGAGAGCGAGATCTCGCGGAGAGGCGCCGCCGCGGCTAGCTACCTTCCTGGGCTCTGGTGTTGGATCTGGAGGATAGGGACGATTTAATATCACGCCCACCAGCGGAGAACGTGGGGTAGTAGGGACACCCGCGAGCCGGTGGCGGAAGCGAGAGGTCGGTGGTGCGCGCTTTGACGCGAACGGGACGGCGATATTCCCGCCGACTCGTCGTGAGTGGGGGAGTTCGGATATGGCAGTCGGCCAGTTCGCTGTTTGCCTTCCTGAGGCACGGGCCGGTCCTCAGGCTCGTCTGTACACCCAAATACTCATCCAGGAAGGCCCCGTGCGTCAGTCGCAGTTTTTTTTTTCTCGTCCGTGCTTCCTCGAGAGTTGAGGGTGAGGTGCTCGCGGTGTCGCGCGGATTTCCGCTTCCGCGTCCTGTATCGGAGCTACGCTCCCGGGGTTGAGCGGCATGCTCAACAATATCACCGCCGGCGGTTCCGTACACGGTATCTCCGGTAAGTACCGTACACACCTGAGTCAGAAATCTCACGTCCGGTTGTGCGTCGCGGAAACTGTGAAATTGTTAGCGATCTCGACGACGCAAGCGATCGTTCGCCGACCGTCAATTTTAATAACCCGCTGTGTAGCAGGACTAGGCTCGAGTCCCCTCGGAAATCCCGAAGCTGGCCGAGATTCGCGGTACCAATCGCGGTTCCCTTCGTCCGCCTTGGAAAAGAACGGGTTTTTCCGGTTCAAACGCCCTTAAACTGTTGCGAATGATGGCTCGAACGTTCTCCAGGGTAATTGAGAATGTATCTCGCATTGGTTTTGCAATAGAAAAATTTAGCGCGCGACTAGCACAGAATTACGGATCGCATTGTTATGGTTTTCCGATTTTTAACTGTGAATTAAAATTGCATTCGTCGAGCGTCGGTCAAGTCCATCGTATCGATTATTATAATCGTATTTTTAGCGTTGCAAAATTTAATGGCGTTTCAGTTGTCCGATATGTCACTAGTGCGGACCACGCGGTATGTATCTAATGAGTGAAACGACATTCATTGTTAGTCAAGTCGTAGCGAATGCATTTCGATCACGGGCGCCAAATAAATTGCAACCGTAATTCTTCGGAAGCCATCGTTGTCTCGCCGACGGTACCACGCGCGTCGCTTCCGCTTTACAATCCAGTGTTCCGTATTGAACTGAAAAACATTTCAACGTGAAAGACATCGTGAAGTGTTGGGCAATCTGGTCGGATCAGGTACAAACTCAGGAGCGGGTGTCAATCGCAGGTTCCATCAATTTTAATAGCGTCAGCCGGCCTACGTTAACGCAGCGGCATCGAAAGTACTCAAATTTTCTAATTACAGTAAAACTTGGGAAGAACTGTGGGACTGAATAATAACACGTATTATTTGCCCGACTCATTGCTTTACTTATTTGTTCTGCTTATAAAGCCCAAGTTCTAGTTCCGAGAAATATGTAGCCGATCAACCTGCATCTTTTGCGGAACAGCTGCAAGTTGATTGGCTACACATATCTCTGGAACTTGGACACAGCCCAGTGAGGAATGATTGGTCGATCGACGTGAATTTACCGGTGTCGATTCGACATCGATCGACGAGTCATTTCTCGCTGGGAGGCCTTTTGGGATGTAATGTTATCGTGACGACCTTCTTGAATTTTCGTAAAGACTGCGAAGTCGAAATGTAACGGCGAAAACAGCGAATTTATGTACCGGTCGTCCGAACGGACACTCTCGTGTACAGTACAGATTGCGGACCGTCGGGGCCTTAACTTAATAAATTCGCGTATCGAATAATTGACTGTGGAAGAAGTTTATTCAACTACCATCGAGTCCCAGAGAAAACCTCCACAAACAATAATATATTTTACCCGTTTTGTTAGCACTTGATCGCTGTGTCGACATTGTGGGATATTAGAAAGTAACGCACGTCGCTTTTGCGAATCTCGCTTTCGTATCTAATGCGGAATGTAATGAGACAACGCGGGGGATAGCGCGATATAATGATAGTGTTAAACTTTGATACTTCAGTCTTAGATCTCAAGCGCGCCGCCAAGTACCGCTGTAGCATCAGGTGTCCCATAAGAAGTGCGTTTCTTCATAGCTTTTATAGTGCGCCAGCCAGTTTATTTTAAGCTTAGCGTGTCAGCGTTTTGTTCGCGTAACGTGGCATTATCATGCCGGTTTACTACAATTAAAAATCACAATTGAAAGTGACGTCGTTAATTAATCAGACATTATTACGAGTACCATGAGTATTCCCGTTCTAATTGCGTGCTATTGGCATTAGTAAGGAATTTGAGATAAAGCAAAATCCATCGGAAAGATAATACGTATATCGAGGGATAAATAGTCTTCATTTAAATAGATCGCTTGTAAATTTAGGTGGATTTAATTTTAAACTCTCTTAAATCTTTTACGTGCATCATTATAGGCCACACTGCTCCGTTAAGGTTAATTGCATGCTGTTTACGGTGAAATTTATAAATATCCGTATATTCCGTGACAAGATGATAATTGCGCCGGCTGAAATATACAGAAAGGATCGTTTTTAAATGTCACCTATCGATAACGAATCGAAACTCCTCCGGACAAGATGCATTTCCCGCATAAAACAGAGAAAAATTGATAATAATTTATCGCCGAATAATTATAATTAAAATTTGATAATTGTCCTTTGCACCGCACAACGCAAACTTTTTATCAAATTTTACGAAACGATCTTCTCAATACTCATTTCTCATCGTATCGATACGTGACTCCACATGCTTACAAAAAGGATAAATTATGAATCGATCCGGATTCCTCTTAAATCAATTTGACTTTCATCACCCGTCGGTTGGCGTAGGGACTGTTTCGCCCGGCTAATCCACTGTGAATAATCTTGCCGCACCTATGGATTGCAATTAATATCTGGCAATTTACTACGAATATTTATTGTGTCGATAGATATTCACGTTTTTACATCCGTTTTTTTATTTACTTACTTTTGCGCATCGTCAGAAGAAAAGTAATGCTTCTTCAATACATTTTTATACGAAAGATGCTTATTATTATGCTTACTTTTACTCTGCAATTGCACGATAAAATCACGATACAAACAGCGGCCGCAAACTTTTTATGAAGAATAAATTTTGATTATTGTGCAATTAACAAATTAAATTGACTTTCTCTGGTACATGTAAAAGAGTTAGGCAATTTTGTTAATTACCTGACTTCCACTTTGTCTATATTATTAAACGGTTTTCCTTGGTTGCCACGTGATCGTCAATTACGTCAACTTGCGAAACTTTTTCGGGTTGGAAAATTTTTTTCTTTTGCGATAGGTTGATTGTCTGCAATTTAAAATGGGAAAACGGACAGGGAATGAAATCGGGGGGGTGGAAAATCGCAGTAAAGAATAGTGAGCTGTGCCGGTAACACGTGACGTAGCACGTCTTCGATCTCCTCCATCTCAAGAAAGCCGCTTCTCGAGTTTGATGATCTTAATTACCTCAACACTGATTACATTACGCGAGAAGTTGAGGAACGGTTTAGAGAGTTAGAATGTTGCAGGTGGCGAGGACTGAGTAAAGCGCTACACGTTAACCGGATTAAAAGAAAGTTATAGCTCCATTTTTTTACGCGTTAAGCGTTGATTTTTTTCCGTCATATTTACTCCGCCGCTGTGGAATTTACGCACTTGTGTCTCGTTCAATTTCGGATTAGCGTTATTGCGATTATGAATTGAACGCCGACGACAACGCGCACGAAATGGCAAAGTCGAAAACTATTGATTTTCGTTAAGGATCTTGATTTCATTCCGCACGATTATAATCGTCGTATACCGTCCGGAGTGATTATACTTGAGTTTATGCGAATGTGATAGACGTCGCACCGACGTCGCGCTTGTTTCTCATAAATTGCACTTATCTGTCTTCCGTCAAATAAGATCAAACCTGTACCTACTAACGACCGGTTCGCGGCTGCATCGATGCGTCTTCAATTACCAGCCTTCAATTTATCAAAAAAAATGAGACTCGGCCCTCGGAAACGTTGCGCGTATCTCGCCGTACTTAAAGTGTGTCCGTTAAAATTTTTTATGATATACGTTAATTGCATTTGGTGCATCGGCCATCCATTGAGCCAAGGCGGGCACAGCTCGCGAGCGTGACACGCGAATAAATACGTCTGTCACGACATTTCCGGATAGTAATGTGATTTATGACTTTATTATTCAGACGTTTCAAGCGCGGGCGGCTGTCAATCACGTGGTTTTCAAATGTCGATAAACGCGCGGCCGAACGGTATAAAAATTTTGTTTGTTTTTCTACAGCCGCTTCACGCATCCTGAATTACCGCGATACTCCATGAGCGAAAAAAAAATACACGTGTAGAATGCCTAGCCGCATCCCACGCGATCCTTTAGTGATTAGCGTTTTAATTTGATTATGATCCTCGATAATCCGGTCAATTAATGCCGGATTAAAGAATTATTCTCAATCTTTAACAAGAGAGAGGGTATCTCGAAGTAATACGGATGTAATTAGGTGAAGTAAACGTTAGAGGGAAAGTTGTTCTCTTTTCGTATTAGGGGAGATGCAGTATGACTTCGGTGGTTCACGTGGCACCGTGATTGCGCGTGCTTTTGCGTAACGACAAAGCTTGTTGTCGCTGTGTGCGGCACATCTCGATGAAGACGAAAAAATCCACGTAAGAATTGAAATTCTTATGAAATCAAGAGTAAACATTGAGACGATTATCGAATCCTTTATAATAAAATAAGCTCATCGAACGTCCATAACGCAAATAGAAAGATGTGTCGTGAAATTCATTCATATAGAAATATTCATTCAGTTAAGTTTTACACGTTGGTCTGATAGTTTCAATATCGATTTTCGATATTTCTGTGTAACTTCATATTTACGGTCACAATCGAAACTAATAGAATATTCTATATATTCTGCATTCATTTTATTATTAAAAGCATGCGCGTTTAAATGAAATTATTAAATAATAAATTTGTGTAAAATGCAATAAAAGGATTCTTCTAGGAAATCTCTTTCATATATAATTGAAAATAATACCCTTCGTAGTTTTTTAAAAGTCTTGTACATTTAAACATAGAACATTTAAAAGGAAAATAAAAGATACCTCCGTAAACGGGAAATTCTCGTCTTTACATCCAACTTGGAACTTTATCACGCGTATAAATGTCAATATAAGTGTCGAAATTAATAATAATCATTTCGCACGAGTTACCCCGAGTTGTTCCTTTTGTTATTATCTCGCGCAACTCCGTCGCATTGTCGCTCTTCGCGGGTGGAAATTTTTCACGAGCGCTCTTTTCCTCCTGGGTGACGCAGAAGATGCGTCGACGTCGCGGCCGTACCTGACTAAACTAGTTTACCTCATTACGTAAGCATCTTTGACAATGCACAACGACGTGCGATACCCGCGATATGACACACGGAGCGGTGTGGGCGTACCGATCCGAGATGGACACCCTCCACGACACAACGATACGTTCACGTATGCATTATAATATACGACATGTACCGTGTCACACGCTCGTATACACCGACGCGAGGTGCACATGTGTACGCATACACCCATCAGGTGCGGGCGAGTGCGTCGAGTATCGGGACATGTGTTTGCGCGCCTAGAAGTCCGGAGTATACGGTGACGATTCTCGCACCTTCACGCTAAGTGGTCCGTACACCCCTCGGCCAGCTTCTGCTCCTATACAAATTTAAACTACGTAGAGCGGGCGCGTGGGGCGGGCGAGCGAGAGGCATGTGCGGAGCACGAGGAAGCCCGGCGAAAAGAAAAAAGATGGGAGAAAACTGAAGCGGCACGTCTTCTTTTTTTCTCTGCTTCTTACCTACCTCGTCGCTGCACGCACGTAGGAGCGAAGGATGCGCAAGATCTGAAGCGGTACGAGAAGGAGCACGGCGTGCTGGGTGTGAATCTGGGCTCCGGTCTGTCCGCGGGTGGTGGCCTCACGCTTCATCAGGAATTGATCATGACTATGCCCGGCGCAGGTACGTATAAACTCGCCGTCGCGTTCCCTACGAAACGATTCGACTTCGTCGGCCGGGAGTCATTCATTCAAGAAAGGAGAGCGATTAGCTACGCGAGTCGCAAGCTTAGTTTTCCATCTTTCAATTTTAACGGTGGAAATGTATTCCACGGGGCTACCAAGAAGCGAATGAATAAACAAAAGTACAAGGAATTCAACATTGACAATTCAATTATCTTATTTTATAAGCTCGCGTTCGCTACGAAACGATTTGATTTCGTCGGCCGGGAGTCATTCATTCAAGAAAGGAGAGCGATTAG